ACTAGGTCGGCGGTACCCGTTCGGAGAAAAGTTGAATTCTCGCGAAATTTCTTCGGCAAAAAGAAATGTTTCACCTAACGCAACATCCGACACGTAATTATCATTACATTCAGGTAACACCACATCATTATTACTAGAAACGGAATACTGTGCGGCCGTGTCCACACTTAAAAACTTTGTTCGGCGCACTTTTTACAATTTCCGCGAGTTACGTTTTTAGTACCGCACCGATAACAGGAAACGGGAATTGAAGTGTCACACTCACCTCGCTCTGCCAATTTACTGTACAGGCCCTTGTGATGCCCGTACCTTGCTTGCAGTATATACAAAACGGTTGGGTTGCCTTCGACACTGAATGAGGCCCGACTCCCAGTTGGGCCGGCGCTCTTGGAAAACCAGACGTATGGCCGGCAGCGACAATGCCGCCCGGAGTGACGGCGGGCGGGCGTATCCATGGCGCGCGTGGGCATCGCCAAGGTCGCTGCAGGCCGTGATAATGTAGCTGCACCCACGCTTACCGCGCGTGGAGGGAAGCTAGCAGCGTTGACTCGGGGCGATGCGGATGTCGGTGCACGCACGTTGTACCTTGCTGGTTTGGTGAGAGGCGCGGCCACGCCGCGCTTCGCACGCCACGCAGTGGATGACGATGTTGCACTTTCATCGGTAGAATCCTCTATCATGCGTGAATGGAAGATAAGTTCCGCGACATTACTGCACTCTTTATTTTATTTTATTTATTAGGTTCACCAACGTTGTGTACAATATTACTTATATTCGATATACATATATTATTTTATAATCTAATTGCCACAAACACTTAAAGGTAAACACAACATGCACTGACTAAAAGCTAACAATGTCTAATAAAAACTAAAAACTAACAGTGTCTAAATAAAGTAAACAATAAAGATCACAATATGGAGCACAATATACTGAAGGTCACTTATTTGGTACAGTCGAGTAAGTGAGAAATTTTCTTCCGAATCTTGAAAGGTGAATCGTGGTGAATGTCAATGCTATCACTGAAACCATTCACCGTTCTACTCAACCTTGCGACGGGTGAGTTTGAGCCAAATACAGTTTTACGAGGTGGGACACGTAATGGACTAATTTTGTTACGCGGATATCTAAAGGGAACACGCAATTTGAATTTTTGAAGCAAATGAGAGCAATCCACTTCATGACGAAATATTTTTGACACAAATGACATATCCAAAAGAGTTCTACGTTTCTCCAAAGACATCACATTGAAATGTGATAAACGACTCTGGTACGAGGAGAGTTTTTTCTTGGAGATTCCACATGAGTACATTAAGTGCCAAACAAATCTTTTTTGAATGCGTTCTAAACGTAAGGAGTGTGTTGCGTAGTGTGGTCTCCAAACAACACTGCAGTACTCCAAGATACTGCGTACTAAGCTATTATATAACATAATATTGGGTTTACAGCTTCGAAAACTTTTAATGTTTCGCAGTACGAATCCCAACATACGCGAGGCCCTACTTACAACATTATCAATATGCGGAATAAAAGTTAATTTGTTGTCAAATATAACACCTAAATCTCGAATTTCATCCAATACCTGTATCAAAATGTCGTTTATGTGATATTTGTAAAGAACCATGTTATGCATTCTACCAAACCTTACTACAAAGCATTTACTAGCGTTTAAGGTCATACCATTCTCACTACACCAAGCAACCACTTCATCCAACTCACTCTGAAGCAAAACTGAATCCTCAACGGTATCAATCACTCTGCAAAACTTTAGATCATCTGCATATAAATACGGTTTTGAGTATCTAAATCTGTGAGGAATGTCATTTACGAAAATATTGAATAATACCGGGCCTAAATGAGAGCCCTGCGGTACACCTGATGTGACATTGATCGATTGTGAATTGAAACCATTAAGGACAATGTGAAAACTGCGATTATCCAGGTAAGATTTCACCCATCTTAACATAGAGTCGCTGAAGCCATACACCGATAACTTTTGCAGCAAAAAATGGTGGGGAACACGATCAAACGCCTTACTAAAGTCCGTGTATATAACGTCCACCTGTTTATTAGCGTCTAAAGATTCAAATAGACCTTCTGAAAAATCTACCAAATTGGTAGCTGTAGACCTGTGTTGAACAAAACCATGTTGAAAGTGGCTCAAAAATAGCTTAGTGTGACGCATTATACACGGACAAACCAATGATTCGAATAACTTGGCAAAACAAGATAGAATTGAGATTGGCCTGTAGTTACTAACCAGGTTCTCATCACCGGACTTAAATACAGGTACAATTTTGGCTATCTTCCACGCAGATGGGAATATTCCAACAGCAAGTGATGCATTGAAAATCATTAATAGCGGATCCACCAAGTATTCCGCGCATCTCACGATAAATATTGGAGGGATTCCATCCGGGCCAGCACCTTTATTTACGTTGATGCTCTTTAATTTCTTTAAAACCATGTCACGATTCAGAGTTGGCGATGTTAACAACACACTACAGTTTGATGTATCCAGTGGATCAGCTAGCTGAGCGGAATTACAGGTCACATCATCATTACCACTTGAGTACACAGATCCAAAATGAGACGCAAAATATCTACAAATTTCCCGACCATCCGAAGATGTCTGATGTCTCTTCTCGACGTAACCTTTTCCTTATCTTTTGATTTAAAAGGCCGTAAACCATATCGAGTTGAACTTTTTCGGTGAGGTCTCCGAAGCTTCGATAAAAGAGCCCTCGCTCTGGCTACAAACAAATTTGTGTTTTCGTCACATTATTCCAAGTAAAATAACTCTTTATAGATTTTGTAGGGCGGCCGTCAGTCGCCGTATGCGCTTCGCAGTCGAGTAATTACGTAGTAAAAAAACTCCACGACGTAGTATTTTTAATTTGTTTTTTTGTTTACTTTGCCACCAGATTGCAGCAGGTCCTATCAGGAGCATGGACATGCCACGTATAGCGTTATCATCAGACACGTTGGCGCAGTCTTTAAAACTTTCGACCGCGTCCACGAACGCCTCTACTGAATCAGAGGGGTCGCCGGAGAAGCGGGCGGTGCACGTTGCGAAATTACCAGGTGTAGGGTCTGGTGCTGGAGATGTGACAACAAACGAAGCTGGCGCAATTTGCCGGTCCAGCACTCGATCCAATAGCCTCTCGAAGGATTCTGCCTAAGAGCGCTGCATATCGCAGCCTTCATGTTTGACACCTGAGAGGTAGGTATGAAGTCGTGTCGGTTCGCTGCATCATCTTCGACAGCGTCGTCGAAGAGTTCAGACTGTCGTCGTGACTGTCTTCTGGTACGAGTCATCGTTACGAAAAATGTCAATAGGTGCTTCATATCACTACACTTTCGAATAGAAACGTACACTCACACAATTTGAACAGTTTAATCCATGAATATCACTCAAGGTCGGGCCACCGTTGGGTAGCCATTTTATGGCCAGGCTAAATAAGTAAGTCAGTCGGTAGAGGACTATGGGTATTTATTACTATAAAAAACGGGGCACAGAAATGTTACACAGATACTACGACGTAAGTAAATACTTATAAAAGACGCGCGCACATGAAAGACTTCTAACTCGAACCAGTGGCAGGGTCGTGTTCCAGAACTCTACTCAATGCTCAAGTCAGGACTTGAGTACGATTTAAAGCACTAGAAATCATACTCTAGTCCTTGCCATTAGGGTCGTATTACATAGGGTCGGACCATTAGACGCGGACTCTTGGACACTAACTGGAGCGCGCGGGGTTTCGTTATTATTGCCTTAATTAGTCATGAAAAAGCATTGACTTGTGAAAAAGTGATATTTTGGCAAACCAGAGTCCACGGCGAGAAGCGCCATCTATATTCGCAAAGATTAAACTACTTCCTCGAGAATGGGTGGTTGTCGCGATATCGGGTAGGACGCTTTCTAGTACGCATGACATTTATTAGTTTATGTGTTGGGCTCCTAGCTTACACGAGACGAACGAGGCATGCGGAGTACAGTCGCGTACGACTACTGATCAGAATAATTAAATAATGATTGAATGACTTAATTGAATAAACGATGACTATTATAATTTATAGCGCAAGTAATTTTAAGTACGAATTGGTGTTACGGCTAAATTTGACTCTTAAAAATTCAGTAGATATCTAAAATATATTGTTTATTACACTGTCGATTCAAAATCATTTTAATCACCACGAACACGAAATCTAGAGTCATTTCACAATGAACATTTGGAGCGGCGGCCGTGGCCTTCCTTATACATATATACATTTTTCATTGTCTGCAATTTTTCTACGAAAATGTACTTATCAATGAAAATAAATTATTTACCCTATATCTTCTAAACAAAGGAGCGACTAATTCTAAAATTTCGCGTTTAGAACCGACTAATTCACGACTTTTTCTGGGTGCAATCAGATCTAAGCTACGAGCTGTTGTTCTCGAGATTCAAAAATGGTGCCGCCATGTTAACTTATTATATCTATGCTCCCTTTTAGGGAGCATTCATTATCCTGCATTATACGATTATGAATGTAATCGAAGCGTGCAAGCCATTCTGTAATCCTGCGATGGGTCCGAGATTCCATACGAGGGCCATACGCAGGATAGTGAGCAATCTCCTGCCTGCGCGGCGGACTGCCATCCTGGTAGTGAATGGGCCGTTTTAGCAGAAGTTTATAATAATACTTACGTAGCGTATTGATGACATGGGCTTGCAGACCGAACTATGGGATGTGTGACAGCTCGTATAGTTCTGAGAGGTTGTTTTGGCCTGTTTCTAATAGTCTATGCGATTTTTAACGAATAAATTTTGAAACGCAGACCTGATTCAAAAGACTTATATCCAAGCTAAAAGTCCTAAAAATATTATGTATATATTTCTCTAGATGGAAAAAAATAAAGGAATGGCAAATAAATGTCAAAACACTGTAAGTGGCTGCACCTCTTACCGCGAAAAGCCAAAAGAAATAAGAAAACAAAACTTTGACAATTCACATTTGACGTTTTAAAATAGTTTTACCCTTTTGCTGGATTTGTGTTTTTCAATTAAATAACAAATTGTATAACCAAAAATGTCTTTGAGGATCGGTGGTGCTCTAAAGGAGCTCAGAATCCATCTGTGCCAGACTAGTAAGAACGCTGAAGGTGTGAGGTACAGTAATATTTTGATTACATAAACAGTAACACAACCTCAATTACTATTATGACAAACTTTTTACATTGATTTCAGGAATTTTTTGATCAAAAACTACGTGAACATTAAGAAGGCCAACCCAGACTTTCCCATACTGATTCGCGAGTGCAAGGGCATTCAACCGCGCGTTTGGGCTCGCTATGGTTTGTAGTCATTTTCTTCTCGAGTGTCTGTACCAGTTTTAATTATATAAAATGCCTTATTATAGAAAACAACTCTAGCCGTTTCGTTTTGTAGTTATGAATTGTAATTTTCCTAGTTACCTTTCCTATACCTTATGCCTTTATATTCTAGTTCCTATATTGTACGCACCTTAAATCCTATGCATCCTTTTATCATATATCCCACAGACAGAGCCCAAGAAATGTCCAAAAATCTTTCTAGTTTGACTGAAGCGGAGGTAGCTGAATGTCTACAAGAACTGGCTGAGTGTTCAGGACCGTGCTAAGTGGTAATTTTCATGTAATAATTCTGTTCAGTATTTTCTATATTAAACGGTTTTACGCCCGGGGTGGGGATGATTGCTCATGGTAGCCACAGTGTGCGGAGTACTAGTAGATGCGGGACACGGTTACCTCTGCGCTTTGTAGCCTTTGCCGTATTTTAGTAAATCTCCATTCTATTTCTGCCCTAGGGATGGGTATCGACCAACAAAACATTGATTATTTACATCTATTTTTTTATTTTCACAAAACAATTGATGAACTGATTGTGGCTTAAAAAATCAATTCATTGACAATTTTTCTTCTTTCTTCAATAATTTCATTGGTCTCTTCGTATTCTTGTTGGTGAATTTTTTTAGCTGTGTAAGTCAAATTTGACTAGTCAAGATTTAGTCAATTCTAGTTGCATGACAGTAGGAATTTTCAGGGCTGGGATCAACTTTATCCAGCGGTTCCATTCTTCAATTTCGTGAATCACAGAACCTAACTTAGATCTAAGAGTGTACAAAAGTCGTGATTTAGTTGGTTTTATATAGTCTTTGATCAAATATATTGGTTCTAGTTGCAAAAAAATAGATTCAGTTGATACGCTATTTTTTTACGTTATGTTATTTACTAAGTTATGGTAGTGTTATACAGTCCACACTGGAACTTATTCCTTATATGTATAACTTAATTCTGTAATATATAATAACTAACTTTATTCTGGTTACCTTTCTTACTCCGGATGTTTGATTGATAAATCCATCATTATCATCCTTTAAAGTATTTAGATATCTTTTGAGGTCAATAACTATTGACCTTAGGAATAAAACTATTTTTCCGGATTTAAATCGCGTATATTTGTTTTTTCAAACAAACCGACGTTTCGGGCCCTTTACAGGTCCCATGGTCACGGTTGACTATTGACCTTTGTCATTGTCATTGTCATTTTAATACATATTTTACATAATTATGTTACTTCCAGAAAAAGGAGAGGAGCGCACCGCATCTCTAACCGACCAGTCTGCAACTGATGTTATGAACACCCTCAGTAAACTTTTAAAGTGAATTTAGTTATTAGATGTTATTATTATGTACAGCTTATAGACATTAAATTTTTGTTTTAATTTTACGTTTTTTTTCTGTAAATACTCTTGGTTTGGTAATTATGCAAAGTTTAGGGTCTTTAGCAAGGCGTCGAAGGGGTTTATAGTGGTGGGTTGAAGGGATTTCGTGACACGTTGAAATGCCACCGCCATTAGTGAAAAGACCCTAATAAATCAATGCAAACGATTACCCCCTTTATTGGTGAAATTTTAAAATTTGTACCTCTAACTCGGAAGTTGAGTAGATTGTATAGTACATTATAGAAAGATATTGGGAAAGTGTTTTTACTTATTACTTGGACATGCTATAGTATATCCCGTGTTTACGACGACTCTAAAACTGAACTTCGACACGCGCGACTCCGACAACATGTTACATCGACATGATTTTACTCAGACATTAGTGAGTAGAATGAATAATAATATTGTAGCAGGCAACCACACAAATTTACTCAAACTAGTAAATCCCTATACCTACATTTTTTTTGTTTACGGGGAAATGTTTGCATACCCTCGAGTTTGGAGAGGCTCAAGGGTTATGTGGGACTAGCCCTCCAGGTGGAAGGCATACCCACTAAAACCCCCCGATTACCCACTAATACCCTCTTGGCCAGGTGTAGCGGGCGTCGCGCCGTGCGATCCCGCAGATTCACCACTCGCACGACATTTGGGGCATTATCAGAACTAGTTTATTTTCCAAAATGGTCCTTCCGGAATTTACTCATCTAGTACCCACCATTCTGGTTGACTACCAAGACCTTCACGTGTTGCTGCACCTTTGGAGTAAATGTAAACAATTTTGATACATCTTTTTATTGAAACATATACTTTACAAATCAATAAGTATAAAAATAGGCATGAAATTTCTTAAGAAGCTTAAGTATTTGTATTTTGCATTTGAAGGTAAGTAAAAATCATTTTATAAATATATATTTCACTAAATTGACATCTCAAGATTGTTTACATTTGCTTAAGTACCTACACAAATGGACTATAACATTATTCAATAGACCATGAGCTAATAATACATTGTGTAATAAGGACGATAAATAAGAAATTACTAACGAGGGTCTATTAGCAGCCCAAAGTCAAAGGCTTGAGGGCTTTACACTTGATGTTTGTATTTTTTTAACGTCCGTGATACATGCAATGTTTTCACCACATTTGCGAGGAAATAAATAATAATAATACTAATAATAATAACGCACACACTCAACATTGCCCCGCACTAGGGAAACCCTGTGTCGCGGGTGCCATGGGCACATACATAGACAACCACAAATTACACCCAAACTCACGAGAGAAATAATTGTAGGCCATACAACTATTTCTCCCGGCCCGGGAATCGAACCTGGGACCTCTGCGTGGCAATCCGGCACGGTAACTGTTCGGCCACGGAGGCAGTTAATGTTGTGAACCATATTTATATTATAATATGTTGTCTGTGTGTGTTCATGGCACCCGCGACGCAGTGTTTCCCAAGTGCGGGGCTATGTTGAGTGTGTGCGTTATCATTCTAAAAAAATATGGGTGTGGCAAATGACGAGTTTTTTTTAAATTCTTCCATGTTAACTACATGGAAAAACTCAAACTAAAATGTTGTTAAAAGTAAACACGCATACAGCCATGATGATGTAAAAAAAAGTTACTAAATTTTTATATAGAAAATAATTAAAATCAATTAAAAGACATTCTAAATAATAAGTATTTAAATAGCAAGTGGCTGAATTGCAATGAAATTTTAAGCAAAAAAAAAACATTTTAAGCGAATGTTTTAATTTTTAATTTAAGTAATCTCCTTTCTTGAACTAGAACTTAAACGTAATGGAAGTGTCGGGTCGTTTTCAGATAACCTCCAAAAAGTGTCCCTTTCAATAACTTTTATGTTATTACATGAATGCTAAGCATTATTTATTTAATATGATTGCGTACTTGCTTAGTCTGTGTTACCTACACAAAAAAAGACTACTTTATTACGTCACAGTAATAAATAAAAATTAAAAAAGTGGGTAATTTCTCATTCATGGGAGCCGGTTCCATAATTTTAAGAAAAGAAGAAAAAAATTAAACACTCGTGGTAATCGCAATATTTGTTATCGAGGATAAACTCTAATAACTTACACGTCGAATACATACCGTAACTTTCCAATTTATTATAAACAAACATGTTTTCTTGGTGATACAAAATGTGTTTTAATTTTTCTTATCATTAGTGTCAATTCAACTAAAAGCCTCCTAATAACAAAAGTTCATACCGCATCACCTTCACCTTTCGCACACGTGAGAAGGGGCTGCTGTCGGTGCGGAGTGCATACAGTGAAGTAGCCTGTGCATCTCCGTTTTAGCAAAAAAATCGACATAAATACCAATTTCAGCGCTAGTGACTAAATCGTTCTCATTCATGTAAAGCAATCTATCTAAATGAGTATTAAGTAATAGTTTTATAAACTTTATTGTACATCAATTAGACAAATGTAACTTTAATATCCACGCACTTTTATAACGGTCCAACATATTTTACACACTTGACAATTAAAAATGTATCCAAATATCATTATTGTCACTTTCATTCTTGTCTACTTTTAAGTCAAATAGAGTAACTATTTGACTTAAAAGTAAGTAAGTAAGTAGTAAGTTAAGCCAAACATTTACTTGAAATATAACAATTAGATGGTGATAGTGGTGGTGATGATGGTGGTGACAGTGATGATGGTGATGATGACGATGATGATTCTAGTGATGTTGATGTGAATGGTAATGATGCTGATGATAATGGTGATCATGATGATAATGTTCATGGTGGTGATGATGATATATTGATGTACAACAAAGTTTATATGACATTAACAAAATACTTATTTAGATTTATTTATTTATTACATATAGACAGATAGATGGTCTTACACGGATGAGAAGGAATTTGATACAAGAAGTTATATTAAAATATTTGTTACATGTAAATTATATTATATTATAATAAAGTAAATGTTCTTTTGTGAACGATAAAATGTGTGTTGTAATAATAATTTCTCATTACTGTGCCGTCTTTCTCATTTATGTTTATGAGAAAATCATTCGTGTTACTGCAATCTCATTAGTGTGACCTAAAATATAGTTTTTTGTTGTGTTTAACTTAAATATTTCTGTGATTTTATAATTATTGACATTGCTTGAACTTATCTGTACGTTTAAGACCTTAAAACCAAAAGAAAAAAGGGTTGTACAAAAATCACTCAAAAAGTGCCATTGACATTCGGAAAGTGAAATTCACCCTGTCGTGCTACAAATTAAAAAAAGTCGTTACCGACCATGGCTGTAATGGAAAGAAAAAGTCCCGTGGGTTTATTAATTATAACAAACATGCGTGTCAACAGATGGTACCGTGTGTTCAAACTGATTTATAAATAATCAGTCGACCTCGCGCACTTTTTTTTTCCTCCTTCCCGATATTTTTTTTTTATTCGGGATCTTTAAATCTTTAAAAATTCTTTTATGTATGTTCCTCTATTTTTAAATTATTATTCTTCTTTCTTTATTCACTATGTTTTATAAATTTATGTATATGGTTTTTATTACCATTGTCAACATTGAAAATTAAAAATTGAAATAAAATAAAATCCATGTTTTTAATTAATCTAAATTGGTTAAAGTTATTTGTAAAATTGTTAAAATAATAATAATGTCATAAAATTGTAAAAAATAATAAAATAGTGTAAATCATTGTTAAAAAAATAAATCAAATAAAATATTGCGTCAAAATTTAACTAATTTTTTGCCCATGTTGTCCCCTCCGCATTACGGAGGCTTTGTTTTCACCTTGTTGGCCTGCGCTACTGCTTTCATAATTACCACAAAGAAGTCGGCAAATTTCGGTCCTGAAAGCTTCCCTGCCAGGAGGGCGCTCCATGTCGATTTCGAGTTCGAATTTTAAGTTCGAGCTTCAACCTCTTGCCACCGAATACGGGGCATTCGTTCAGGACATGTTCGAGGGTCTGTGCGGCGTCCGGGGAGCACATGCATCTAGGGTCATCGCAGCATATGAACCGATGGAGGTACGCGGCGTTCCCGCCGTGATAAGTCCACGCCTGAGTCAGCCAGTAGGATACGCCAATTTTCCCGATAACTCGGTACGCTTGGCGTATGTCCGGAAAAAACAGTTTGGTGATGCCTTTTGCTGATGCGGAATACTCCTCTTGCCAGGCGTCTATCACCCGTTTGGCGTACGAAAGAGGGGATCTGTCGTAGTCTGCAGCCGTTTTCTTATGGAGGGCAGTAAGTTTGGCGAGCTCATCCGCGCGCTCGTTGCCGACGTGAGCGCGCACCCACTAGAGCTTGATGCTGCTACCCTGCTCGGCCGCTCGCGATGGATTCGGCCTGACCTCGTTTACGCACCCTGCGTGGATCGCGGGTTCGCTATCGCGTCCAGTGAGGAAGGAGCGTGAGTCGCTCAAGATGTCGCAATCCCTATAGCGAGGATCCTTCATCAGCTGCCCAACCGCTTGGCGTAGTGCGAGTAACTCCGACTGGTACACGGTGCAGAACGGTTCCAGTCGGTATTTCTTGCTCACCACTTCACGCCCGTCTCGCCAGCAGGTGAAAGCGCAGACCATGCCCTCGATCTTGCTGCCGTCGGTATATATACTGACGGGGGCGGATGGTCTTTCCACAGACACGTCGTCTTCGAGGCAGCCAAGCGCCGTGGAGCGCACCTCCGGTCGAAGAGCGGGATGTGGCATTCGGAAGAATGGAGTTCCAGTCCCATTCTTCTATCCCGCGCCTCTAACAAGGGTTTTCTGCGCTTTACGGGGTACAATTCTGCCATCTTTCGTGCCCTCAGCTCGATCGGCAACAGCCGCGCTACTGTCACCGCTGAGTTAAAAAAGACGGTATGGTAGGCTTTTGCAATTTTTATCGCAAACAGACGCTGCGTTGACCTCAGATGCTGCACGAGGTAGCTCCTAGAAGTGCCGCCGGTCCATGAACTGGCCGCTTACAATAGAATAGGATCTTGACCTTGCGTATTGCGTCTACGTTCCGCGGACATCGCGCATACGTTCTAGTTTCTCACGAAATGCAACGTGGTTTGTGTGTGATGTAAACAAGAGTTAGTGCGAAAAAAAACCGCTACCATGTGCATTACCATCAAGTGCGTTCTTATGGCATGATGTGAAACGTTTAGTTTACGTAGATTAAGAGTGTCGAAGAATTGCGCGCAAAAATCGTCTCTGAACACACTTTGGGGACAATTTTACAAAATTTTATTATATACAATTAGCCAGAATATTGAACGGAATATTTTTTTATATTTTTAGATGATTTAGCATCATTTCTATTATTAATTTCTTAAATATGGCGAGAATGCAAATCAACACCCTTTTTTATACCACTCGACTCGAAAAACGTAGGTAGAACTATGTTGTTACATAAAAGAATGGCAAAAACGTAATTATTTAATAAAAAATGTAATCTAATGAATTTAATATAAAAAAACGAAAACTATTATCCATGTTTTAGGATATAAATACTCAGTAAAAATGGATATTTATCCTTAGACGGATATTTATCGGGTAAAAATCTATCTTTAATTGCAGCTTGTCAATTTGAAAGAAATTAGTTACAAAAATGTAGCTTTTCTTTTTGGTACTCGTCGCGACATCTGGTGTACAAATAGATACTAAATACCCGACTACGCTGTCTTGTATCGCGATTTGGTCCATGGTTGTTACTTTCTTGATAAGGGTGACTGCGGTGGGAATGAAGCTCGCAGATTGTAAATAAATACAATTTATTTCACTTATATCTACTCACTACTAGACTTCGTTAACAAGTAACACTTAGCATCTAAAAACTACTGCAAACATTCACTATAAAACAATTTCTAACAATATATCGTTCTTTACAACACAACGCAATTTACAATTTTGATGGGCATATAATTAAGCATACTTATACATTATATTCAGTACTTGCCAAATTTTATTGGGCATAAGACACCGAGCTTTCTACTGATTTACAATGCTTCTATTTTCTCAATGTCCCTCGGCAATCATCGGATTTCCGAATGCACACGAATATTAACGCACTTTATTGTTGTTTTGTTTTGATATCCGTGTGAACTATATAGAGCTGAAAAATACTACCCTATTTACAATAACATTTAAAACCACGTCGATGATTTATTTGATATTTAATTTAATTTGTTTAATTATTCTATGTTTTTAAGTTGCCTTTTGTTTATTTTAATGTGTGTAAACCTATTGAAGTATGTATCTAAGCTAATATTATAACTGTAAAATATGGACTGTAGTTATCTGAGAACAAATGATGTTTGATTTGATTTGAATAACATTTACTCCATGTCAATAAGCAAGTTAACAAAAGTATAAAGTAAATAAAGTGTGCGTCTTTTATATAACTAAAAATGAATACTTTTTCTGCTATTAATCATTTCAATTCAGTCCGTATCTGAACGCATTTTTTCATCTGATATAGTTACTATGTTAATATGTTCGTCATCGATGGAACAATCACTTCCGCGCTGCACGAACAGGTATCGGCTGCTTGTAAAAAATACAAGTACACGCTGTAATTTATCTGTAGTACCTGTGATTTTAGCGGTTCTAATCCCGTTGTATAATAAATAAAAAATGTAATAGCAACTCTATATACTTAAAAGTCGACTGAACGCGTCCAGCCTGTACCAAAGGCAAAGGGCAACTGAATAAAACCCGACGACACAGCCGAAACACGAAGTTTGCCGAGAGACATTTGAGAAAATAGAAGCACTGTAAAATAATCATAATTAAAACATTAGCCCGATACACGATTCGTCGGCGTTGCTCGCCAGATGCGACTTTTTTTAAACAATCTCCCAGATGAATTACATGTTTTTGCGTAAGTCCTTTCCTAGAAAGCTATTAATATGTAATTCTTACAGTGGTTACACACGGCGACTTGCGACTGCATCGACACAAACGCGCGATTGCATCGATGTAGTCGCGTGCTTGCTACGCTGCTTAAAAATCGCGCGCGTGTAACCGCTCTTAATGGGACCAATACTAAGTTCGAACTAAGTTAATAAAAATGTTCCCTCAAAATTATAAGTTACACCATACGAAGCGATATAAACTATCATAATATACATATATACTTCGTATTTGTTTTGTTATGTACTTTGTTCATTGCTCAGTTTAGTTTCAGTGCTTAACAAAAAAAAAATGCTCCACCATTCGAATAAGGCGTGCTATAAATACATGACATTTATTTTTCCCTGTATAGCAACTACATACGGAAATACTATATATGTAGTTCATATATATAAAAATATAAACATTGGTATTACGTTTGATACCACTTACAAATTGACCAGTCATAAGGTAAGATGAGAACATTATATTAAGTACTAATTTTAAATCTATATCCAAACTATCTATAGGCAAATAGAGATGTAGTCATGGTTCATAATGCTAACGTACAGTTTTCGCCACTTTTCGCAGCCAAGAGACAGTGAATCGTTCAATAACAATAACGCATATACTCGTATCCACGCACTAGGGAAAACCTGTATCGCAGGTGCCATGGACACATGCATAGACAACCATAAATTTCATTCAATCTCACGAGAGAATAAATGTAGACCATACAAATATTTCTCCCAGCCAGGGAATCGAACCCGCGACCACTGGATGACAGTCCAGCATGGTAACCGTTCGGCCACGGAGGCAGTTTTTCGTTCCTTTCAGTTCTGTCTGCGAAGCCCAATTACATTGACTGACACGGCTAGAAAAACTGCTGTAGTTATTAGATCGGTGGTTATTTATACACGGTGACTTATAGCAGAGATACAAACGCGCCATTGCATCTATACAGTCGCTTACGTTGAATAATTAAAAACGTGTAACGCGTTTGCAACGCGATTGTACTGCTGCTTAGGAGCCTATACTAGTTCGGCTTAGTTTCAAATGGCTTTAATTTCTTTGGTAAAAAAATAAATTCTGAAATAAAGCCAGTGCCCCTGCCACTCGATCTAAGCAAAATAAACCGTATTAGTACGGGAAAAATTTGAATTCCGGCTGAGGTGGTATAGATGTTTTTGATCTTAAGTCGCGCGTGTGTGTAAAATTATACGTTTCGCAACTGCATCGTTACTACATTGCGATTGAATTGCTGCAGACGCGCTGCTATAAGTCGCCGTATGTAATCGCGTTTATACCAATCACAAAGAAAGAGACAACATTGTCTCTTGTTTTCCATCTGCTGAATACCTACTCCAAGTCTGTTTCTTAAACAAACCCAAAACAGAAACTTTCTTTGAAAGGTAACTTATTTATTACTTTAAATGATATTTTGTCCCTAAAGCGTTTACAACACAACTGATGTAACAAAGTTGATCAACAGAATTTTAAATAAAATACAACAATAAATTATCAAAAACAATGTTAACAAGTTTAAAGTAACAACCGTCACATTGATAACAATTATTTTTTAAATTATATACTGATATATGTATACTTAGAGGTTCCAGTTAACAATGAACTTTTGGTGATTGGAAATATAGCAACTCTATAATGAAGGATATGGGGAATTGTATAGCTTCCCTAGCGGTCATAGAAAGAGCTACATTTGTTATATAAACAATGAAAACTCTTGAATAATTAGTGATCGGATATTGGGATACTTTTGTACTTAAATATCACTTTTTTCCGTGAATTGCTTTCGATGTATGGAAGCAACTTTTAAAATTTACTTTTCTACTTTTAAATCCTGGAATACTGAAATGTAGTCTGATAATGTAGTCTTTAAATAAATTAAAGGACTTGAGAAACACTAATAATAATGAATACGGGCCTATGAAAGTCTCGTTAGCTATGACGATCAAGAGCAATTTAAGTTGTGGTTGAAATTTTTTAGTTAAATATTTTAATTTAATGGGTTTTATTTTGTTTACTGATGTTATTCTTTTTCGTGAATGAATAAGGCTTTTAAGCAAACTCCTGCCTAAAGATTATTTAGTATAAGTTTTAGAATTTGGTTACATTTCTATAACTGACAAAAAAGATGTCCCAAATCTATTTTATATGTTAAGACTATTGACTTAAGGGCGCTCTTTCACCGCGAACATTAGCCTGTAATGTAACATTCAAGATTCGTTATCGAGCATTACATTACAAACTGCTTCCCTCACCGTCGTCGGTCATTCGCCGCTAATGTAATGTAATGTAGCGTGCGTGTGAGTGACTCCGAATGCGTGCGAGTGACTCTGAATGCGAACGAGTGCCCGCAAATGCCCACGAGTGCCCGCGTGTGACTTTTAGTGCTTTTAAGTGCCCGCGCGTGACTTTTAGTGCCTTTAAGTGCCCGCAGTGCCTTTGCGTGTCTATGGAGCCCGCGAGTGCCTTTGAGTGCCCGCGTGAGCCAGGTGAGCCCGCGAGTACCTTTTAATGCTTGCGAGAGTCCGCGAGTGCCTTTGCGTGCCTGTGAGAGCCCGCGAGTGCCCTTGAGTGCCCGCGTGAGCCAGGTGAGCCCGCGTGTGCCTTTTAATGCCTGCGAGAGTCCGCGAGTGCCTTTGACTGCCTGCGAGAGCCAGAAGTGCTCGCGAGTACCCTCGAGAGCCAGGAGTGCTCGCGAGTACCCTCGAGAGCCAGGAGTACCCGCGAGTGCCTTTGCGTGCCTGTGAGAGCCCGCGAGTGCCTTTGAATGCCTGCGACAGCCCGCGAGTGCCTTTGAGTGCCCGCGAGAGCCAGGAGTGTCCACGTGTACCCGCGAGTGCCTACGAGGGCTAGAAGTGCCTTTACGTGCCTGCGAGAGTCAGGAGTGCCTTTGAGTACCCGCAAGAGCCAGAAACGTAACTTATGTAGACTTGAAAACAGATGTTACATAAAGTTGTATCATAACAGGTTGCGCAACGAATGTTCGGTTCTCCTCCGTCATCGCTGTAATGCGAATTTGAACTGTTACATTACAAGTGAATGCTCGCAGTGAACGAGCGCCCGGAGTACTTTGTACTTTTATGTTGATTTTAGACGATTTTCAAATTAAATAAGTTTTCATTTTTACAAAATGGGAATATAAATAAGCACTACTACTGTTAACTTTTATATCACCTTGATCATTGAAAGGCTGGCAACCCAAACATTTCCGGTTGAAACTTGGCTAGCGTTGGCAACACAATAGTGGCGTGGGTAGTGAGCCGTTTGTCTAGATGCGGGTCGGGGACCATCACGACTTGCATGCCTGCCTTTATGCCTGCCGTGACACCATGAGGTGAATCTTCGAATACCAGGCACTGGAATATTATGGTTTATTATTATAGGAGACAATACAATACATCATGGATCCAATTCGATTTTGTTCTTTATTGCATTTAATCTTATACATTGTTTGCATGTACAAGGAATATCATCCCGACACATTCATATCACAACATAGAGCGTGAAAATCTTAAGCCCAGCGCTCAATGGGAGGACGGCATAGCAAGGGATCCTTCAGTATTCCTACACACACACTCACAGCAATAACAAAATAAAAATAAATATTAGACAACAAAAGTAAGTTACTTATGCACTTGTGCTATGGAAATCCCGACCCAAGACAATATTGAAAAGTTGATTGATGAGTTGAGAGATGGCGACATAATAAAAACCCGTGTGCAAGCAAGCCAGTCTACTACTACTACAGAGGTCGTCGGCAATGCCGCAGTATCCATATAGACTTGCCGAAGCATACCGTCGCGACATAGTGCTCGCGCCTAACCTCTCCTTAGATCAGTTATTTGCTGTTGTATATTTCAAAATAATAGTCTTACTGATGAAGAAGATGAGAACCATACTCCAAGGAGATTTTTGGTGAACTACGTTCGGAAACCTGCCGAAGCATCCCGAAGGTTCCCGAGGAATTCCGAAGGCCCGCTAGATGTCTCTAAGCTTACTGCGGGGTTTTAATTGAAATTTTAACGATAATGTAATATCATAACTTAAGAAATATTACTATTTGTCATCTAAAACTTCCCCGCCGCCGTGACGTCTAGTAAACGCTGGGCCTTAAACTGCAAATAAGTTTTTTCGCCAATAACTTTTTGTTAGTTACTTCCATTACTACTAAAGGGGATGACATATCGACCCCTCCTACATAAAGTATTGTATGTCGAAATTGCCAAGTTTACAGGGGAGCGTTTCAAACTTCTGAATTCAATGAAATACGCATAACACGTTACTCACATAGAGTATTATAAAATTCTAGATATCGGTTAGATGATCACTCTATGTCAGTAATGAGCTTTTGCCAAATAAAATAGAGAACTTTGAAACATTCCCCAGTAAACTTGGCAATTTCGACATACAATACTTTAAGTAGGAGGAGTCGATATATGGTGTCTTTTAAAACTCAGTGTTGAGCATTTTCCTTATAATGTTTATAAATATTGAAAAGTACCTTTGATGGTTCTGGCTTATCAGGGAACCTAGCAGCGGCAACCAGAAATATATCTGGGTGTGGTTTCCCAAATTTGACCTCAGGATCGGTGCTTCCCATTACTTTATGGTGGAACAGGTCGAAAAGTTCTTTATGCGCTGCAACTTTCGTCTTGACAGATCGCTCGCTTGATGACGTGGCCAAGGCGAATGGTACTTTCGTTTTGTCTAGGTGACGAATTAGGCGCTCTGCACCTGGAGATTGGTAACAGAAATAATGAGTTTCCAAAACAGCGGCTCAGCAGTTACATGGAGTTGGAGAGGTAATGGGTATAATACTTAGTTGAACCAATTCAGAAAAGCAACTTTTCGAAATTGGTTCCAATTTGTTATGGGTGGTGCTCTTACAATTAACCACAGAACAATAAATACAGTAGAGCTTAGTGGGGATCTCACGTGGGCGAACAGTATGCGGAGTTACGCATACTTGAGCTTAATCCGCCTTTATTGCTTTGTTTATTATTATTATTGTCTTGTCAATTATCTCATGCAAAACCACGAAATTCGTAGAAAAATGCCTTATTTAGAGATGCTACTTTGGAGTGCAAAAATAATAGTCCTGTAATATTATAAATGGTGGTGTTTTATATAATTCTTAAGTCTTATTTTATTTCGTTTTAATAAATTTTCCATTTCCAGTTTATCATAATAGATTTTTTTGTTATAAGCATACGTCGGAAAAAGGTGTTCCACATATATAGATACATGTGTAGACAAAGTTACAAAGAGCGACTTAGAGTTGTTAAAAGCAACAAATATTCCTTATTTATTTTTTCGAATACCAGATTGTTTTTGAAATGGTTTTACTGCATCGTCGAACAAACTACTGCCCTAGGAAGTCGAAGTTGGATTTTAAAGTTTTATTACATTGGTCTCATTTATTTCTCACGTGAGTTTGGATGTAATTTGTGATTGTCTATGTGTGTCCTCATGGCACCCGCAACATACGGTCCCGAGTGTGGAGCTATGAGTGTGCACATTATTACTATTATAAAGCGTGATGTTATTTAATTCAAATACAATAAATACAGCAGAAAAGATATGAAATAAGATAAAAATTTAAGTTTTATAATAAGTTATCTAAAAAATTTTCGAACAGCATTTGGCTACTTAAGGAGTATATTGATGTGATCGATAATAAGTTTGTTATCTACGATAAATGATAATGATATTGTTATAACATTTAATGCTCGTCTTTTGTGTGAATCTTAAATATAAATAATGAACTTTGTAAAACTTAAAAAGTGGGCAAATCATTCGCCTAAAGGGAGTACAAGCACAATAATTTGACTCCAGTCAAATGATTACCGATACCGAACGCCCCTGCCATTCCGTTAGGTGCATGAGTTGAATGATGATTATGTAAGAACTACTCACATCATTCACCATGTCCATATCAAAATATTCCTGTCCCCATCACAATTATGGTAACACTTTATGGAATCTATGGATTAGTACTATCAAGTATGATTTGAATGATCATTCAAATAATTTGAAAACATAAATTAGTAGGTTACTAATTTGTCATTCGAATGGCAAGATAAGTAATTACTTACGAGTTGAATATCAAAATCATTCTCTCAGACTCCTTATGGTAGTCAAGTCAAGTCAAAGATTATTTATTCCATAGGTAAAATAAATTTACACTTGAAAACGTCACAGTTAAGCTACTGCTCGTTCACTACGGTGACCTC